ATTCCAACACCTAATATATATATATATATATATATATGTATGTCTACTAAACTAATAAATCATAAAGTTAGTACTATATTATCAATTTCTTACTTTTAGACCCGATTGCATCAAAGTTACTTTACTTTTGAGCTTAAAACCCTCTCTCTTTCTGTCTCTTTATCAACTTTGAAATAAAAAAAGAGAGAATATTAAGCTTCGCTTAAAGTCAAATCAACATTGCAATCGGACTTAAGAGTAAGAAATTGAAAATATAATATTAATTTTATTAATCTCGTCACTTAAATTTTAATAAGTCATGCAAACTTTTGTAAGACCAGTCGTCTTTAATAGTATCTCGTCGGTACTAATAATATTTCAAGTAATATTTTAAGATGTAAATATTGCTCTGTAATTGGCTATGACACTTAAGACTATATTTAAGACAGCTTTAAATATAATTTAATTGCTATTTCTCTTTTATACTGTTTTATGAGTTTGTGCAGTGTTTTTCTATTTATAAATGTGAAAATAAAATATTTTATTAACATTTCAACATTTAATAAACTAATTAAATTCACCGTGATATTTCATGATCTTCATTATATTATATGTTAAAAGTATTAAAAACATATTTTCTACATTATTGTCTACTTTATTACACACACACACACACACACACACACACACACACACACACACACACATTCGTTTTAAATCATGAGGGCGGTAAAATGAGAAGAAAGCTGATGCGACGCTATAAATTTATCTAGATTATTCGATATATTGGAATCTTTATCCCATTTCATCCCTGTTTCGTTTGTCGATCAGGGTTTCGCCAGGAAACTCGACAAAGAAGAACGTAAGCCAGGCCTCAGAGCGACAAAGTAACGCCAGCAGCCGGCAGCAGTGGATAGTGGCCGTGGAGGATAGCATGCGTCATGGGAACGCGGTTACCACACAGACCACTCTCGTGAGTATCTTTTCGCTTTCTCTATTTTTCCGTTTTCCCTCTTTAATGGTTACTGATAATTCGATTTGCTTATGACAAGTCAGATCGACATACGTAGGTCTGTAAACCAGATTGGCGCCTAGGAGATCATAATCTTGCGACTTTCTCGTAGATGTTTGTCGTAACGATACCGGTTTATGAATTGACCGCGTAAAATCGAAACTATCACGTTTGATAAGCCCAATTCAAGCGAGACATCGATCTATGAGCTATTAAAGACTTCCGGATGATTTCATTAAGAATTGAAACATTTTCTGTATTTGTACTTTTCAAGAAGATAGATAATAATAAACGATTTATTAGGATCGCATAATATAAATATTACGAATTAAATTGACTAGCAATTTAATAATTTGATGCTTTTTCGTATTTTAAATGATCTTAATAATGCTAAGTGACTATTAAAATCTGTAAATATATAATTAATTCTTATTGCGAAAAATATTACCTCGGTCGGGAGTTGAACCCGGATCTCTTGCATTCCGTGCGAGTGTCTAAGTCTTTAGACTACCAAGGCCTGAGTAAAAAAACTGTTCTGTCAAAACAATATTTACTTTCATCTTTTACTTATTTATTTTCATCTTGTAAATTAATTTTGGAGATTCTTTTTTCAAGAAATTATTTTTTTTAAAGTATGAGTGAGAAATATCATAATATCTCGTCTTTTGTTCCATTCTATATGTTTTTCTAAATATGAGAAATAGATTCTGTTGTTCCTTTTTTCGAAGATGCTATACGTACTAAGTCTATTATATATACATCCATAACAGATGTTTAATGGATATCCATGATAAATTTATAAAAAGACATCTGTTATGAATATAATAGAGATCCCTATTAGAAATCTATTTGATTTCTCCACCATATGGATATCGCATGGAGCTAAAGGTTAGATATCTAACAGATGTATTTCGCTTGGATTTCTTTTTTGTATTACTTTACATTTTATTAATTATTTATTATTTAAAAGATAACAATGACTAAAAATTCCTATATTAAAAGATATGAAAAATTACATGACCTCCTTTTACTTTTTTAAGTTGGAGAATTTTTTGAATTTTCAATATATTTAACTTAAACGGAATTTTAACTTGAAAAACTTGATTACGATAATAATTAGTATCAGATATAATATGAAATGTTAGAACATAAGAAAAATAAACAAATTAAAATTTTTTTTACTTCAAATTACTCGCAACCAAATTTTCTAATACAATTTTCGGGACATTGTAACTTGATCTTATTGTAACTTAATAAATTTTGATAGCCGAAAACCCGTCACCAGCGGCCGTATGGTTGGGAGAATGGGACCGTAGAGTCGTTGCGGTTGACTCAACTGCCCAGTCCGCCCAGTAAATTCGCCAGTCTGCCGTACGATGTTAAGGTGTCCTTCAACTGGATCCCACCACGAACGAACCCAAGCGCGGTGGAAAAGCACCGGGAAGTACGTCGTCGTTCCTCAGAGGAGTATCTGGAGGACGAAGGTGGCAGTCATCAGCGACAGAGCAGTCCCGATCGCGTCAGCTACTATTTGAGGAAACATCACCGTCAGCAGAACGAGATCATGAAGTCGAGCAGCGTGGAGGACCGTCTGCTGATGAACAGGTCGGACAAAGAGTCGATGCGACGCACTCGCAACGATTCAGATTCAAGCGAAGGTCGGTTTTCGAGAAACTCTGAGTCCGAGAGTCGGTCCTCGATACCACGCTCCAGCTCCGTCAGCGTCGAACGGTTCTCTATGCGTGCCAACTGCGACTCGTCAGACTTTTCACGCGCCAACTCCACGTCGAACGAGCGTTTCCACTCAGACTTCTCAATCGCGGTGGCAAGCGCAAGTTCGAACGATCATGTGTCCGTGCCGACCTCCGAACCATTTTCCATACGCAATCTCGATTTTGTTTCGTTTGCGTTGCCGCACGTGGACTCGAGCGAACGTTTCTCCGCGCCTACATCCGACCGTTGTTCCGAGGAGCGTTACTCCGACCTGTTCTCCACACGTAATTCCGATTTCTCCGCACGAAATTCGGCCGATTTTAGAACGCAATCGGAGGAGGAGCGCTTTTCCGATGACTCCTTGGAAGAATTACTGCCACCACCGCCACCTATTAGTAAGAGACACTCTATTGCGTGGGAAGTTTCTTTGGAGGACGATCCTCTGTACGCACCCGGCAGCACCAAGGTTGTCGGTAGAAGACGACGAAAGAGCAGCGATGTATCAAGTAAGTGTTTTTTGGTTTACTTTACAGAAAAGAATAACAGAATAACAAATTTTTCGTAGCAAAGGATTTATTTATGAAAGGATTTATTTATCACATTCATTAATTCTTTGCTTTATGACTTAATTTGTGTTCATTCCTTAGTTAGTTGTCATATTCTTGTGTTGCGAAATTCGCAATGCATTCTTCGAAATTTTATTTGTATTTTTATCAAAATTTTCATTAATTTATTATGAATTATCTATAGATCATCATTTATGATTCTATTAAAATTCCATATATATATATATATATATTTCTATTTTTATTCTTATTTTATATAATTTATTACAATTAATTAAATCATATTTTCGTTGGCGTTATATACTCATTTTATTATCATAATAAAGAATTTTTTATTTCAAACAATAAATATTATAACTCGGCTCAAAATGATTAATATCAATTCAATAAATAAAAAGGAACCATGAGTCAAAGCAAATTATTATTGCTAATATTTTAATAAAAAATATTTTATAAACAAATATTTCGACCTTTTAGAAGATCCTTTACAATATCCTTTACAATATTAAAATACATAATAAACCATATAAGTAGAGTTACTTTAAATTAAAGCTCCTTTGAGATGAATTGATCAATGAATTAATGCCTTTGTAAGCCATGCACTAGATTTCGGTGTGAAGTATTTTCCTTTATTTAATCTCTCATACTGTTTGAGATTGAGATTGGCGCTATCGACTTTCTTATTACTCGCCATTCGGCATTCACTCGATCGAAGAGACGGTGGCGCCCTGGGCCCTAACGTATTTAGTTTCGGCCGGATGGTCCCCTTGCCAGCTAGCCATATTGTAGATACGTGCGCAGTTCATCACCAGCCATTACGTTTTTGTCGAGCTCTCGCAAAGGAGACGTGTAATCACGAAGCACGAAGTCATATCGTTTTACTGTACGAGCTGTTTAATAATAATAAAGGAGAGTGCGACCATAGTAAGCGAGTTATCCTTTAATCAAAAAGCGAGTCAAATCACTATCAAACATTGATCCTTCGAGCCGGATACTCGCAAAATCGAAATACAACAAACCGCCATAAGTACAAGGGTTGTACGGTCGTATTGTCGTACACGCCACAACACAGCATCGAGGTAAGTCTCCAACCTTCCTCTCATCAGTTTCCCCGTTTAATTCATCACTGCATTGTTACTCATGATGTCGGCGCAAGTATTAAAGGCGCTCAAGACCAAACGTACGGCAATAAAGGCACAATGTATGCGCACGTGGAATGCGATAGACGCCATAGATCCACAAGCAGTGTATATCGCATATGTAAAGCAGCGAAAAGAAAAATTTGCCACTTACTGGTGTCAATTCAACGAACTTCAATTGCAAATCATCGAGCTATTAGAACTTGCGAATGACTTAGAAAATGTCGAGGATCTCAAGGTCGAATAAGAAGCGGAATGTACAAATTCGAAGAAAATTATTTCAGTACCGCCGGTAAGATCGACGCTTTGTTAGCCTCTTCGGGCGTGTCTACGAGTGTAAACAACATGCAAAGTAACGCGGTAGAATCACGCGCTCTCGAACAGACACCGCATCAAGGTTATATCCGCAATCTCAGTCAAGTTTATTTATCGAAAATCGCGATACCAGAATTCAATGGTACTTATGAGGATTGGTATCCATTTTATAACACGTTTGAATCTATGATTCACTTAAACCCGAAGCTAACGAATATTCAGCGTTTCCACTATTTAATCTCTTCGCTCGAAGGCGACGCCGCGCACGTCAAGTCAATTCAAATTACTTCCGATAATTAGTGAAGCCTTAAAGCTATTAAAACAATGCTTTGATGATAAATCTGTCATTATACAAGAACATATAAGATCGTTATTCAATTTGCCTGTAGTGCCAAAAATGGATTACGTGTCACTGAGAAAGTTAGTGAATGACGTACTGCATCATTTACGCTCTCTAAAAGACTTGGGTAGGCCAGCTGATCATTGGGACGACCTCATTATTCATCTAATCATTACAAAATTAGATTCGAATCTTATTAGCAATTGGATCACATCCCAGCAGGTGAGATGCCCACGTTAAAAATGCTCACTGACTTTCTTTCACACAAGTAAAACGATGTCAATCGTATCTAACAAGGTCGTTAATGAAGCAGTAGCGTCGAATCCAAATCTAACAAAATTTCTAGCGCTCATGTATCCACTTCTAATGTTTATTGTACCTATTGCAAAGGAAAACATCACAAACATTTTTCAATGTCCAAATTTTTTAAAGTTCATGTGAAGACAGGAACAATGTGAAAACAGGTCAGAGTTAGGCGGTTATGTCTCAACTGCCTATCTATCTCTCATCAAGACAGGGATTGTAGATCGTCTATATGTCAAACGTGCAGCAAGAAGCATACATTGCTTCACATGCAGGACAAGGCGCACCTCGAGACAGAATCAGTCAAACGAGCAATTCTGGCACCGTCGTTTTAACGCATCATGTCGCTCCAGATAAGTATCAACAGATCATATTATCCACAGCAGTCGTCAATGTTTATGATCAACATGGCAATATGCATACTTGTCGAATATTATTGCATTCAAGGTATCAATGCAATTTCATCACTGACAGCCTCGCCAAAGGGCTGAATCTCAGAAACAAGCTAACATGTCCATCACAGGAATAGATAAGTCTCAAACACTTTCTAAGCATACAGTTTAATGTACGAATCAAATCAGTTCATACATCATTTTCGCGAAACATTGAATGTCACGTACTAAACAGCATCACTGAGGATCTACCTCTAGCGCACATCAATATCTGCGATTTTAAGATATCAAATAACATACGTCTTGCTGATCCTCAATTCTATACACCAGGCACAATAGATATGCTCATAGGCGCTGAGATCTTCTGGCAATGATTATGCGTAGGACAAATCCGTATGCACAAGAATTTACTTATACTACAAAAAACCCAGCTAGGTTGAATCGTCGGTGGCAAGACATATAATGATGGTTCGAAATGTGCACCTTGTTAATCAATCAACAGCTCAAGCAGTAGCCAAGTTTTGGGAAATGGAGTCACCAACGAAGTATTGTTTAATCCTGAAGAAAGAAACTGCATGGAACACTTTGCGGAAACTGTCACAAAAAACAATGGGCATTTCGTCGTACGAATGCCTGTTAAGGAAGCCAAGCTACAACAACTCGGTGAATCTCGCAGTACAGCACTGAACAGATTTCTCAACCTAGAACGCAAACTACAGAAACAGCCAATGTTGAAGAACCAGTATGTACGTTTTATGAATGAGTACTTAATGTTAGGTCACATGGAATGCATCACAACCGAACAAGAATTGGCGCGCATTCCGCGCTATTACATACCTCATTACGCTATATTAAAGAGCAACAGTTTAACCACTAAGCTACGTGTTTAACGCCTCATGCAAAAGTAGCATCGGAATTTCGCTCAACAAATGTCTTTCAGTAGGACCCATTCTCCAAGAAGATCTGCTCTCGATCTTACTATGTTTCCGTACGTTCCGATATGTCATTACGGCTGACCCAAATGTATCGACAAGTAGCGATACACGAATCACAAACATCACTTCAGACAATTTTCTGGCGAAACGATTCAAATGAAGAGCTAGCAGCGTTTGAACTGAAGACCGTGACGTATGGCACAGCATGTGCATCATTTCTAACGGTGAGGGCGATGCAGGAGTTAGTTAACATACACACATTGACCTATCCATTAGATTCAAGCACTATCATCAATGACTTCTATGTCGATGACCTATTGCCGACACTGAGCAAGAAGTTAGGAGATTACAAAGCGAAGTCAAGATAAGCTCGGGAAGCTTCCATCTCAGGAAATGGGCGTCTAATTGCCCTAAACTATTACAGGACATACCTTACACTGACATTTATGAGCCGATTCACTTCATTAACACGGATGAGGAGGTGTCTACGCTAGACATGCATTGCTAGACAAGGATGATTTCCAATATTATATCAATTCTTTTAACCACACTAAGATAAGAAGAAACGAAATGGAACATGCTGTCTGCATTATCAAGAATATTCGATCCTTTAGGACTTTTAGGCCCTATAATACTCACAGCCAAAATGCTTATGCAAGGGATCTGGCGACTTGACCTGGCATGGAATGAGACCGTACCCATAGTTTACATACCTCATGGACGAAGTTCGAATCACAGTTAAATTTGGTTAGCGAACTCAAGGTGTCGCGTTACGCAGCATGTAAGGACGCAGTCAGCATTCAAATCCATGGCTTCTCTGACACGAGTGAGAAGGCTTATGGAGCATGCGTTTTTACTTCAGAATCACCAGTACACAAAATCAAGTTTCTACGCAACTACTGTGTTTAAGGTCTCGCGTTGTTCCTAAGAGAAGCGTATCACGAAGAAGCAAATTATCATGCTTCTCCACTTATCGACGAATTTGGCATTATCAGAGTAGACGCTTGCAGAAGACAGCGATGCCGCATGATGTAAAATACCCAATCCTGCTTCCAGCTAATCATCCATTCACATATTTGATCATACGGTATGAGCATCAAAGGCAACTGCACGCAAGGGCGCAAACTACATTAGCCGCCATTCGCAACAAGTATTGGCATCCTTATAAGCACGAAACACCGTTAAGAAGTGCATCAGGAAGTGCATAAGACCTTGTCGCAAGGCAGATCATGTTTCCGAAGTAATCATGGATGAATTGCTGCAGAGTTACACCATCGAAACCATTTGAACGCAGGTGTAGACTACTGCGGTCTGCTTCACATAAAGTTCAGACAACTTTGCAACGCCAAAATAGTAAAGGCGTACGTAGCCGTTTTCATATGCCTAGCTACGAAGACCGTTCTCATCGAATTGGTGAGCAACCTGTCTACCGAAGTATTTCTGAACACTCTCAAGCGCTTTATAGAGCGCCCGTCGAGATAAGATACTACATATATATTCAGACAATGGTACGAAC